ATTTTAGTTTTATTTACTATTGCAACAGAATACTTTCGGGGATCCTGTAGAAGTACATCTCGTTATAAATTGTTTTTGAAGTACAACAAGAATGACATCTTATGGAGGTTTAGAGAATAAGTTAATGGTTCACGGTGAAACGGAATGGTAACATGAACGAGCCGAAAGCTTCGTTGTATTTCGGTCGCAGCGTTTCTGTGTGAAAAATATAAATGGTTTCGTAATATCTCATGCTTTTAAAATTAACTTCCTATTATTACAGCAGTTACATAGCACTAAAACTTTTGCTTAAGTAAGTAAGACAACTTCCTAACCATCCAGTGGTTAAATTGGGATTTTGAAAAAGGAAGAACTCCCCTTTTGTGATCCACTTTGTAGTATCGGTGGTAAAATAGACTACTTTTTTCCTTTAATCAAGAGGTGGAACAACACAGTTTCGCGGCATTCTGCTCCAATTTAACGTTTTTAACCATTTCAGAAAAAATAAAAGTCTATAATAAAGAGTTACGAAAGGGAGCCCAAAATCAATACCTATATCTATCAGTACAACTAACTACCTGGTACAGATGTCATCTACAAGCCTCCGTGAACAACGTACGCCCTTATTATTGTCAACCAGTTGTAAGACATCGAAAGACATGAGACAATATTGATGTTCATGCGTTACGTTATGGTAACAGTATACAGTCGTTTGTCACGTAATTATATCTAAGTGTGCTTCTCGATGCACAATCGTACCCTGTATTGTATGGCACCAGCAATATAATTGTCGGTTATGCGACTAAATCTTTAACATTCAGCAAGTATTTAAATGTCAAAACATACATACGTGTTTGATTTTTGACATTCATAAATAAATAAAACTTCACATTTTTACTCCCTAAAAATAAAAAAACAATTCAAATTAAAAGGCGAAAGAAATCAGACAAAATTAAGCCTACAAACCTGTTGAATAAGCAAGCCGGCAAATAAATTAGTTTAGAATCCAGGTGTTGGATTATTGTAGGTATATTTGTTTGTTTTTAAGCTTTGCGCAAAC